ATTTTTATTTTCATACTTGGGAACACCTAGTTTTTCTGTTTTAAGGACAAAGTCCTCTAAATCTAGTGAATTCGAGACAGTGAACTGGGAAAAATTAAAAACGAAAAACCAAAGATCAACTAGATAACGACGACAAAATTTGAATACAATTAATAATTATTAAATTAGTCGATCAAAGACACGTTAGCTCAAGTGGTAGAGCGGCAGCGTATTTAGCCGAAGGTCGTGGGTTCGAATCCCGTTCGTGACACTGGATGTTTTATCTCAACCAATACCTTACAAAAAGCTTAATCCTTTTTAAAAAGATAGTTCCTACTCAATGTAAGTGTTTTGCAACGATCCGGATTTCGAGCCTTTTAGCTCATCATCAGGTTGAAGGACTTCTACACCAAGTCTCTCGACATGAATTGCCAAAGTGAACCCGCTGATACCTCCGCAAACGCGACGTTCCAATTAGCAGCTGATATTTTAATGGCGCTCAATTTGAACATGCGAAACGCGGAAATTATAACACATATAAATATTATACTAGAAAATACTTAATATTATTAAATTACTATAAAAATAATAACGATTAAAATAATTAGTTTAATTATTTGGATGTTTGATATTATTTATGTACATATTTCAAATGGGAGGTAGATGAAAATCTGTTGTATTATTAATGCATTTATCACCATGTTCAATTTTACATTTTTTAATTTCAAATTTCTCAAACCAATCTAGTTCTTTCCCTTTGTTGAAACTATGTAACATTCTTGTATTTAGATTTGAATTGAAATTATGTTTTGCTTCTTTTAGATGGTCCTTAAATTCCGAAAATTTGCTCGATTTAGGCAAGTGTTCTTTTACTCGTTTTTATTTCTCTACCGCTTTGTCCTATATATTTAATATCACAATCATTACAATTGAGTTGGTAAACCCCGCTTTTTGCCAAGTTGTCTACTTTGTGTTTACGTTTTGAGAGGATGTTTTTAAGTGAACCCGTTCTTCTAAAAGCTATTCTAAAACCTTCTTGTTTCAAAATTTTACTAACTTTTTCCGATAATTCACCAATGTATGGCAAACAACGGAAATGTAATGATTCATTTGTGGTGGGGTGGCTGAGTCCTATTGTTGATTCGTTTAAAGTTAATTTTTTAATTCTTTTAACTAGCAACCTATCAATAAATATTTCTTGATACCCGTTGTTTTTTGCTAAGGTTTTAATAGTTTTTAATTCTTTTTTATAGTTATCAGGTGTTAGCGGAAGTTTTAACATCCGGTCTATGAGCCAAATGAAACCAGCAGCCTTTTGGACCAAAAAGATTAATTTTCATTAAATTTATTACATATATAACAAGAATAATAAAATTAATAAACGATATAACAATACATCGTAGACCGCAGGCCAACTGAATTTGAATGTGTGCTAAAATTGTGCAGTTGAAAATTACACATTGACAAATAAATTAATAAGACATTTGGCAGAAAAGTAGTCAAACAGTTAATTCTGTGTGTACAACTGTACAGGCGGGAGGACCACGCAATTTATTAGGAAGCTGAAAATATATTCAAATAAAATCAATTTTTTTTGTTGAAAGTTGAAGGAAATACCCTTTATAAATCCAAACAATAGTAAAATAAAAACAGAAATTAAGACTTCTCCAATCTACTGCTAATGGGTTACAGAAAAGCGTAAATGACGCGGATGTATCGGGTTGTACTATCCCTCACACATCCAGGAGTTTGTGAATATTCATATAAAAAAAGAATATAAGAAGAAACCATATACTCTTCCATCCACGGAAAAAACCACGATTGAAAATATCTATGATAATGGGCAGACATTAAATTAATTTGCAACGCCTAGGCGTGGAAGGTAATGTAATAAAATGCAATATTCTTTAGTATGAATGAGGTAATACAAGTCAAGAAAACGTTTTCTTAATTTTACGTACAAGCTGGCAAAATTGAAAGTAAAATATATTGGAGTGATGATGGGCACAGGCTCATAACGCGCTATGCGCTGCTCTCACTGTCACCACACTAATTCGCTTATATAATGCTGGACCGGGAAAAATGTCCTCGATAATCCCTATGAGCCGGCATAAATGAGGGGTGTATTTTCCATATTAAGACAAAATTCCCCGGTGTTAAGTTGGGCGACTATACTGTTTTCCGCTGGTTTGTGAATTTGGCAGGTACTCTAAATTTCCATTTTTCTACAAATTCATGACCATTTGTTTTAGATGCTGGTATGTAGAAAGTCAATTAAGCGGATTCTGATACATCGAACGCGGGCAAATTAGAAGGGTGTGTCAAAAATGGGATGGCGTGGTTTGAGCTAACTGCGGACGCCAATTTCGCAAGGTGTCGGTTTGTGTAAAAACCGCGGTCATTTCGTGGAAAGAGAGTGTTTACCCTGATGATTGTACACTTTGTTAAGATGAGACCTAACAGCTTTTACTTGGTCTCCAGTAAGTCCCTAAGGTGCAGCAGATGGAGAATATAATTTCACTCAATTCGTTGATATGGAAACTCGTCGCCTATATAAATTGTATAACCTTTGGACTCAACCATTTAAATACAATTTGTCTTCTATGAAAGTAGTTCAACTTTAGAATAGACGGCGAGAACCGTTGCTCTAACTTAAGACATTGAATCACATCTGCAAAATAAGCTTGCTCAATGTATTTTATTAGGTACAATTCTGTACCTGACTGAACGATTTAATGAGCGTAATCGCGGGACAATTTTGGGATATTGCGAATAAATTTGAGCACATAAACTTTGATCCAACCTAACCTCAAGTAGGAAGAAAATCTGTGAATTAGCCTACGACAAAAGTAATCGGCATGATTTTGAATAGAAACAGAAGTGATGCCTTCTGAGAAAATTTGAAATTTTGACGCTAATACCATAGGTTACAACTTACACACTATTACACAACAGTCGTATAAATGTAGCGTTACAGACTGGAATATAGTTCACAAGCCAAGACAGAACCGACGGTACAGCCCACGGTAGGAAGGCGATCAGAGTTCGCCACTCACTATCAATTTCTGTACAATTCCCTTTAGCATGTCAATCGCTGCTGTACACTGTCCTCCCAATACATTTATGCCATAATCAAAATTTACCCCTTTCTATAATACCTTTAGTCTTAAATTCATCTCTGGTGGAGACTACAACGAAAACTACCTGTAGTTGTTGCTCTACTAATCCGCACGGCAGTACACTCTTAATTGCCATCTTAAGTGAAAACTATAACTTTGCCTCCACTAAACATTTTACTTAAATGACCTAAATTTTTATCCAAACTTCCAATCCTAGTCTCACAGTGGAATCTGCATTGGAACTTCAAACGGAAATTGCTTCTTGGATATTCCTTCAGGGGGCTTTTATCCAGCGGTAAACTTTTAATTGAGAGGTAAAACCTTGAGGAGTTGCCATTTAGTTAGAAAAAATATAAAGGCGCATGACGTGAGAATAAATACGAACATCCAGCCGATCGCTGTTCAGGTGGTGGCATCGATCCTCGTCACCCTGTCTTCTGCCTTTCATCCGGCGTAAATTTCACCGCGCACAGCAAAATTTAATCATCCAACTATCATCCACATCATATAATATGTCCGTTGATACATTACAGAAATGTGCTGGAAATTAAAATAACTGCTCGACTTTGCGCTACCAATAGGGGCGTTTTGACCAAGCATTGCTTTCGATTAGCAGCGAGCGGGCGACATAGTTTTTACATCACTGCCGAAATCATCGAAATCTCAAAATCTAACTACAGGCTGTGCATAACCAGAATCACCGTACCCACTAAACACAATAGACTATCTACCAAACCGCTTTTGCCCTGCAACAAACCTCCCAGGAATTGGTGGATTAGGATAAAAACCCTAAATGCCAGTCACCTATACGGGCTTTGGCCAAAAAGTAAGTGTCCGTCGTGATCCTTCAGACGAGTCAGATCCTCCCAGTGCTACTCATCCACAGTGCTCTTTTCTCTCGAGAGCTTCTCGGACGACCCAGCGCACTGACGCTGTCAGCTTTTCTTTTTTGTTCGCTTGGCAGCGGGCCGGATCGGGATCGTTTAGTCGAGGTTGAATCTTCTAAATCTTAACCGCCTCGTCTTCCTTTGGTTACCTATATGTCCCAGATCACCAACCAATTACCGATACGATGCAGTTCCGAGTACCTCTCCAACAATAGCTTGTGCACAGAGGACCTTGCACAAATAATTGAAGTCACGCTAATTGAGTCGATGCAAACAAATTATACAGTATCCCATCATGTTGTATTACATCAAGCGCATGCCAAATCGCATACAACTCTGCCGTGTGTATCAATGTGCCATGGGAACTACCATTAGCATCACTATTCATGGCAGACGTCACACTCTCGCCGGTCTATAACCATCCGTAAAATGCTGGTTTTTTTTTGTTTTTTTAGTGGAGCTTACCTGAAATTGACATGGCTGAAATAAAGATGATATATATTGCGTATATATTGTTTCAGTTGCGTGTAGAATTAAAATGTTGAATGAAAAATGCATCAATAAATTAGTTACATTACAATGATGGTGCATTCTGAGATTTTTTAGAAGTGCGAAAGGTAACGTACCTGTATAACCTTCATCGGGTTTATCCCTGAAACTTTTTAACGGGTAAAAAAACTTAAATATGTCAATCTGTAGACATAATTTTAAGATTGTTTTGCCCTGATGATGACCTTAAAATAGGTCGAAAGCTTGGCAGTAACAACTGAACTTGCGTTTTTCTTCAAGACCATACCTTGATCTAGAGTGTTCGTGAAAATTCGTAAAAAAAGTGCTTACACAAAAAACTAAAAAAAATTTGCTTAATTGTCTCACCTATAATTTTTTTGTATACATTTTATTAGACAAGTCGCTTTTATCCAGAAGTTTTTCGTGTTTTCGTTAATTTTCAAATTTTATAAAAGTTAAAGCAAAAAGGATTTGGTCGGGCTTAGGGCAATAAAAATTAAACCTGTTCAGCGGTAAGACTTGGTTTTATTGAAATCAATAAGTCTATTAATAATATCATTAGAATAAAAGAAACATCAACAGCATTTTACAGTCTTTTGACTGATTTACCTTTTACACATTGTTTTTTTTTTCTTTTAAGTGAAAATGCCAAAAATTTGTACACATAACAAAGTTATACACATAATCATTTCACAGGGCTTATACAGGATTCGCGTTTTGTTTTCTCTTCACTGTTGGAAATGAATCACCAAAATAATTACACCTTGAATCGAATTTTATTCCATTTTTTAAATTATTTCGATTATGCTATAATCATTTGGAACTAACAAAAAAGAAAAACAGTACAAAAGAACACAAATCAAGATTAAAAAAAAACAATAAAAGATCACTGGCTTAGCAAAATTTAAAATTTTTGTCACCTAGTTATCGCAAAAATCGTATACTTTTCATTTGGTCACATAGAATCATTAAGTCTTATATAAATATAACGTTATCAAGGGACAATTGTATAAACATATCTAACACCTTAATTTCTAATACCACTAGATAACTGTCAAAAAATTTACATTTTTTTCAAGAAATTTACAAAATAAATATATATTTATTTTAGTTTTTTTGCAGTATACTTCGTTTTTATTATTAGTCGATGAGAGATTTTTCAAAGATAGAAGAGAATAATAGAGATGTCCTGGCACATTAAAAAGTACAAAAAAGATCGCACGCGGTTTTCTAGTGCTATTAGAATTGAAGATAATCGGGACTGCGTTTGTTTCGAAATGATCTCGACTGTCTACAGCGTCCAGGAGGCCGTCAGTTCTGAGAATAGCAGGACCGAGAGGAGACGGCACTTGTATTTATTAGCCACGGCTGGCAATAATGATGATTTATAGGCGAAGGATTCTCCTTGAAGGACGGAGCGACCACTTCTTATATTTATACTTCAAAAGAGAATCCCTTCGATTAATTACCGCGCCGGGAGTAACAGACGATTTAGCCCCTGGCCTCACTGGGTATTGCTGCCAAACGGCCTATTGTCATAGGTGCCAACAAGAGGTAAAGTATAATATGTCCACGGGCAATCGCGTTCGACTTCGTTACTCCTTAATTAATCCTTTATCGGTACATCGACTACCCTCGGGTTCGATTTTCCTGGAAATCTTTTCTCCCGGGCCAGCACGGCTTCCTGAATGGCCTTCACAACGGACAAATAATTTAATCTTAACCTAGTAACATGAGCTTCATTGCAAAATATTTTTGACTTGATTTTTTTGCGTATACGTATTGTACAATAGTTAACAGTATTTTTATATCCATTTTTAAAAAATAATGACTATCAAATTATTCACTCATTTCGTATAGACAATATGTAATTTAATAATTTTTTCATTTGACTTTTTAATGTCTTTAAACATTTTTAATTTTTTTTTTTAAAGATTACAATTTATTGCAAAGGTAAATTACTTATAATATTAGAAGAAATTCAGAACCTCTTACAATATATTTAATATAACTATTATAATGGGATTTTTAATAAAAAGAATATTTCATATATATGTTTATATGTATATCACTTTGAATAATACCAAAAGACAATGGCTACATAATATATAGCTAGTTTTAAGTGTGACAAACACGTGAAATGTATACGTATACGGTGTGTCGAGAAAAGTTCGAACACTGTCGAAATAACTCTTATGGCAATGTAAATTAGCGAATCGCTCATTTCTTTTTCAACTAAAACAAATATAAACAATTTATACATAATGTACACTTGCTCTATAAAATCTAATATGCGGTTTGCAATTTTATACAATATTAAATTCAACAAATAAAACGAATCTATTCGCTAATTTACATCGTTGTTTTTTTTAAATATTAAGCTAAAATACAATAAAATAAATATAATAAACAAATCTATTTCAATATATCACGTGTCTTTGAGTATACATATTGTGTATATAAAGGACGCCAATCATACAGTTCTCTTAAAAAGGCGTAGGTAAGGTATACTTCAGAGTTAGAGATCGCTATTAAACAACTAACAAACTATCACTATCACGCTTAAGAGATATGCAGAAAAAAAGACTGGGTTTTATACAAAGGAATGGATTCGGACAACTGTACAGGGGATCTGTCTATACATATTTACTGGACAACTGTTTTGCTAGTTCTGTATACTTGAGGAACTTCGAATGAGGGCTCTCCTCGAACGTGGGAGTGGGTTGGGGACTTTTCGTAGCAGCGGAAGAGGTGGATGGCCCGTTGTTGTTGTTGCTGTTTCCTTTAGGAACGGAGGGGGTCGGCGAACCGATCGGCCCTTTCAGAGACACCGGGTCGGGGATCACGCCGTCTTTGACGAAATGCATTTTGGACAAGTGATGCCTGTAGGCGCCTTTAGAAATAAACGGGGTATCACAAAAAGCGCATTTCATTATGGAGTCAGCTGTGACCACCGCGTCGTTACAAGCCCAGCTGAATGCGAGAATGGCGCCCGGGGCGGTGCCCGAAGGTGCCGGCGTCGTCGACGTCCCGGGGGTGGCAGGGTGAACGTTGCTTGGGGTGCTTCGCGGAGCATGAGTCTCAGTCTTGTCGCATAACTTCTGCAACGCGGCCAAGGGGTGGCTCGCACTTTTCGTAGGCGGCGTACCCGTTTCGCCCTGGTTACCGGCCCCTCCGGACAAGTTGTCGAACATGGACGACAGAGCGCCCAAACTACTGGACGACTTCTTTTCCGACGAACTTCTCGGCGTGCCAGCCGATCTGTCGCTACTGGCCGGGCTGCTGGGACTGGCGACGTGGTCGCCCGAAGGCGGCCTCACGCTCGTTGCCGGACTCGCCATCGGGCTGGCCGAAGTCCTATGGCTCCTTTGATCATCGTCTTCTGCAGCTGACCTGCCTTCTTCATCGTGACAAATCCGCTTTGCCAACGGCTCGTCACTTTGAAAACTACGCCTATCCTCGTCGTCGTCATTACCGTTCTCAACCTCCTGTTTGATTGTCACTTCGGATCTATTCTCTGATGTGTAATCGTCTTCCCTTTTAACTCTAATTTCCTCCGGTTCGCGCTTCACTCTGATTTCGTCATCGGAATTATCCCTTTCCCTTTTGATTCTTATTTCTCCTTCACCGATATCGTCTGGACATGTCTTGTTAGATGGAGGTGTCTGAATCCTTTTTTCGGGTGTTGTTCTAGGGGTATAGCGATCTTCGTATTTTCTATCCGGGGTCATGGCGTCTGATCGTCCTCGTTCCGATATGGAACTCGACTCGCTACCACTTCGCTCTCGCCTGTACTGAGCGGTGGCTTGATGGTGGTAGCTCCTCAAGAGATTCATCGTCTGTGCATCTACTAAAGGTTTAGTATAGTCAACGCTTTCGTCGATACCCAGCCTCTTGAGTATACTAGAGCCCATAGGGGCTTGTCCAGGGACACCAGGACCAACGAAGCCCCCTGCGCCGTGTCTGGAACGAGAATCAAAGCTTTTCTCGATTAACTTTTCGATAGCATTCAACACCGACGGCGAAGAACCTTTTCCATCGGCTTTTACTTCTTTGGGACTTCCCGGGCCTACGTTGAGATCTGTAGGGGCCGGGGATCGATTTCGCCTCTTGTCTTCTTTCATTTGGCTCGAATCCCTCAGAGCTTGTGAAACTCCGTGATTTTCGGCCAAAGCGCTAGTGGACAAAAGCGCGTTTTTTAATAGATTTTTGTGATCTCCTCCCACACAGAGTCGGATGTGTTCGACGAAAACAGACATTTCTATTTTCTCTTTACATTTCTCGCAAGTGATCCTGCCGGCCGAATGCATATCCCTTCCTTGCTTACCCATAAGTACAATCCCTTCACCGTTTTTTAATTCGTTTTGAGCTCTCTCCAATTCCAAGAGCTTTCGAACGGGAAGAGACTTCTTTCTTTTTTCTCGGGTCTGCCGTCTTCTACCGCCGCTTTCCGTTATGGAACGCATGATGTGCTCTTTGTAATGCGAGTTTTTGACCATGTGATTACTCAGTTCTTTTAGAGAACTGAATGCCTGGTCACAGACTTTGCATGTCAGCACTGCACTGACGTGGCTACTGGCCGTGTTTGTAGCCGCGCTAGCACCTCCGACCGATGTTGCACTACCGCTTAAACTTCCTGAGACACCGGTAGCCGATCCTGATTTTCCCTCCTCGGCGGATTTCCACGAAATGATCTGCTCTTGGGATATGATGTTTGTGTAGTGCTGCGTTTGTTGCATGTGGCTCGTCATTTCTGCAAGAGATCTGAAACTCTGGCCACACCACATACATTTGAGGATCTGTCGAGTCTGTTCGGCTCCTTTTCCGAGCCATACATCTTGACCTCGTACCAGTTTGCGTGGTAGAGGCATTGTTTCTTTTATCAGAAGATTGAGATCAGACTGATTGCCTCCGGTCTTACTAGATGGTGTGTTTAAACCGGAAATGCTGGATGGTGAAGATACCGGTGTGTGCTGTTGAACAGGAGGTGGAGGTGGTGGTATGATGGGAGAAGGCAAATTGACACCGCAGTGTTTCGCTTCTTTCATGTGCGTCGTCATAGCGGCTAAACTAGGGAAACTCTGTTTACACCAGACGCATTTCAAAACGTCTTTCGCCTGTTCCGCTCCCTTGTTGAGCCAGTGGGATTGCCAAGCGCTATGCCTGTTACCGGCGCTTCCACCGGCAGGTCTGAATTCGTCTCCTCCCAATTTGCTCAACTCACTCATCTTCTCCAATGCTTTAGAAGCGTCACTTGGCGTCGGAACTCCTCCTAGCCCTTTTTCCGGCAATTTCATTTTCCCGTTCCAAATGTCTGTCTGATTGTTGTTTTTCGGCGAGAGACTGTTTGCAGCGGCCACGGCAGCCGCGAAATAGGGAAAGTGGGACGCAACGACCGGCGACGTCCATGGAGAGACGATGGGTTTGTAATCCGATGACCTCGAGTGTTTCTTGGGCTGGGAATTGGGCGAGAGGGATACTGGTGAATTTTCATCCACCCCCCTCTTCCTACTCGTGACTGAAAGGTCTAACGGGCTGTTCAGGGGGATTTCAGGAGGGGGGGAGCTGGATTTACTAAGATTCAAAACTGGAGATTCACATGTAGATCGTTTTGTGCTAAAATCCAAGACGGCCGAATCTTCAGGCGACGTGTCAGCCGATCTGGGTGAGGTCACGTTGTTGGCCTGTATCAAAATGGGCGGCGAGGAAGACGACACCAACGGCGAAACTGACCCGTGGGGCGACGTCATCATTCGGTGCATGGGTTGCGTATACGCAGTCGGCGGTAACAAAGATATCGGGCTTACGGCCGGCATGGGCGTTACCCTCTCGGAGCTGACTGAATCTCTAGAAGGAGATCTGACCATCGATGAACCCCGAGAATCATGACCAGGGCTCATTTCCCTAAAACAAAATTTTTGTTATATTTTTCTTTTTTAAATCGTTGGTTTAGTCGAACAATAACGCGTTTGATCATCCTTACCTAATAAGGTTCGGTTCAGGATCTTGAACTGGTGGCTCTATGGGCGGGGGTGAGTTAGCGGACGAGCCGCTGCCAATACTTCCTTCTTCTTCCCCAGATTGCGAACCTTCTTCTTCCTGCCCTTCCGGAGGCGCTTCTCCTTCTCCTTCCCCTGCAAACAGAATAAACTTAATCAGACACATGAACAAATAGGGGCCGGGTAAAGAATTTACTAGGCCGTCAAGGCGTTTGCTTTGTCTTAATTCGAAAGGAGCTCAAGGAAGAAGGGTAGACAGACTGGAGAGAAGTGAGATAGATCGGGAGAGAGGTAGTAATTAATGATAGGCCACTTAGCACCAGGTTAGCGAGGCAATAGCAATAACACTCAGACCATCAATCCTTTCCTCGCCCAAGCCCTTGATTAAGGGGCTTCAGTCTAACCAGCCCCCAGTTTCCCCAAAACACCTACTTATCTGCTACCTCTAACAGCACATCATAGTTCAAACATCATTCATTGTCACTCATTTTCAGATTTCCGTCTTTTATCAATGACACTTTTTATTACTTCCGATTTGTTAAACCGTCATGCGACCCAACAAGCATTTATTATTTAGTAACTAGAATTTAAAAAATCAATTTTGACTAGATTGCGATTTTTTTTCTTGATTTTTTGTTTCAGATCAAATAAAATAGTATGAAAAACGAAAATTCCATTTGGACATCGTTTATATGAAAGAAACTTAGGAAATGTGTTTAATAAATGTATTTTCGATAACTGACTTGTATATATGAAGGAGAAAGTTGTTTTCTACGTATTGATATATATTAAAATTGTCAGATACAATTTTGAAAGAATTTGGTTGTTATTTGATCCAGGTGAACCATAAAATTGTTAAAATTGGGTGTCGTTGGATGGAGGGTTTTGAAATCAGACAACGGGTACATGTCAGCGTTCTTCATTCATTTTCACCGTTAATTGATTAATTATGACGGATTGCACGTCGGTCACCCTGCGTTTTACAAATCGGATCCAACCCGCTTATAATTCCATCTGTCGGATCTCATTTTCCAAGCCGTGCTGCTAGACCAGGGCGCTAGGCTAATGGAATAAATTAAAATCCGGATATTTCAAAGGGGGTGGGTAGCGGCTGTAGGGAAGGGATGAAATCGAGGGAGGAAAAGATGAAAGGAATGTAAGACGTTTGCCAATTGGCTGGGCTACTAATTGCCAAGTGCAAAGGTAGAAGGAAAACACGAATTAATAACTTTTTGTAGTTTTAAACCAAAATACGTATTTAAATATAATCGTGTCATTGGCGATTGATTATTTTCTAGTAGTACCTAAGCAGGTGTACTGTTTTAATCCAGATAAAGTTATAAAATATATTGACTCCTTTCCTGGCGAATAAATACCACTCAAAAGGGGGTGGGAATTCCAATTCCAAACGAGGTATGAGAAAACAATAAAATGTACAAGACAAAAAGGCGGTGGTAATTATATGTCCACAGGTAAAAAAAAGGCTCGGCTTGGGGATGCGGAGACAGAAGAGAAGAGAGGATAACCCGCGGGAGGGAGAAAGAAAGGAAGCAGAGAGGGATGGAGAGAGAGAGAGAGAGAGAGAGAGAGAGAGATAGAGAGGAGAGATTAGGAGAGAGAAAGAGAGGGAGATAAATGGAGAGAAACTTAAACAGAGAGAGAGAGGTAGAAATTTAGAGAGAAAGAGAAAGAAAGAGAGGGAGAGAAATAGTGAGAAACAGAAATAAGGGGAGAGAGAGAGAGAGTGGAGAGAGATTAGGAGAGAGAAAGAGGGGGAGAAAAATGGAGAGAAACTTAAACAGAGAGAGAGAGAGAGAGGTAGAAATTTAGAGAGAAAAAGAAAGAAAGAGAGGGAGAGAAATAGTGAGAAACAGAAATAACGAGGGAGAGAGAGAGAGAGAGGAGAGGGGGGAGAGAGAGAGAGGGGGAGAGAGAGAATAAGGGAGAAAACTAAAGAGAGAAAGACGGAAAGAGAAAGAAAACGAAAGAATAAAACAAAGGTGAGTGAAAGAGAATAAAAGAGAGGGAGAGGGAGAGGGAGAGGGAGAGGGAGAGAGAGAGAGGAGAGGGAGAGAGAGAGAGAGAGAGAGAGAGAGAGAGAGAGAGAGAGAGACAGAGAGAGAGAATAAGGGAGAAAACTAAAGAGAGAAAGACGGAAAGAGTAAGAAAACGAAAGAATAAAACAAAGGTGAGTGAAAGAGAATAAAAGAGAGAGAGAGAGAAAGAGTGAGAAAAGGGAGGGTCTCGGATATGGAGCGGAGTGAGGAAAAGGAAGTATGTCGCGCCTCGAAAAGTGCACCTTTTTTTAATGGCCATTGGCCGTTTCATCCTCCTCGGTTCCAACATGGTGATCCATACTTTTTTCAATTTGTAACTATAATCCTGCAGTTTCGTGCACGAGGCGGACGATGAGGTACCTTTTTCTAAATATTATCTGGAACGTTATAGAAACGAGCGGGTTCCTTTCTATTGGAAAAACTAATAGAACTGTCTCGCGAGTGACACCATTTAATTAACAGGAAGAATTCATCAAACGAAGAAAGGGTTGGGGTACCTGAGTTCTTTATCAGGCCGTTGTCAAGGACAATAGGGCGTAGGCCAAACTTCGCCACCTTCATAATGAGAAGAAACAATGAGAGCGAGAAACAGACGACTGAAGAGGGAGAAAAACAATGAATTTAAAGAGGAGAGGGAGAACGGTTTGGCTTCACCTCCGCCCTCGGCCGAGGAGTTATCGTCAAATTGAATCAGAGCAAACAATGACATAATCAAAACGTCTTTGGCCTCTTTGATGACTTGTTTATTTATCACTTTTCGTCATCGCTCCCTCTTTAAACAATAAACTTTCTTCTTTATCTACCCGTCTACACGCGAAAAGCGCCCCTCCTCCTCTGTCGGTCCTTAGTCTTGTTTTATGATTGATAAGGCATTGTAACTCCGAAGAGAGCCGGATTGGAGAATAACCGACTCGCAATCTGCTTCACGGTTGACAAACGTGTTTCAATATTGACGATACCCCTCCGTCCTTTATTTCAGAGCAGAGCCCATTTGTCCCGTGTCGTCTATTTCCATTTCTGGAGTTGTTGGTAAAATAAAAAGTCTATGAATACGGTGATGGTGCGAGCGGCGGAGTAGGAGGTGATTGATACGCCACCACACCCAGCACGCCCGGATCAATAAATAACTCTAGCTAATATTAATTAGCGTGTTGAGGCTGTCGCCACAGATTGATGCACTCGGCGGCCGTGTTTCGCTACTGACATATCCCGCAAACGATCTTACTGTGAACGCTATTTATAGAGAGCAGTTTTACATTCTAGAATCCTTCCGGCCGTTTTTCAATATAAAAATCGAATGACTATTCAGCTTGAAATTTAGAGACGTTGAAGTATTGATTGGTGATTTTTTCCACAAACTTCTCAAATCAGAGAGGATAATTATTAATTATTCAATTCACTAGTTTTCGTGGTCCGCTTGACCAATTAATTTCTTACAAATAATTAAGGTTTTTAGTTGAGGTAAAAAAGTCAGTGTCACGAGCGGGGTTCGAACCCACTTCGGCTAGATACGCCGCTACTGTACCTCTTGAGCTATCGTGACCTCGATCCGCTCGGACACTAACTTCCCATCTCAACCCCACATTTTGAATTTTCACTCCTTTTTGCCATTTTTCAAATGTCGTGTAATCGGATTGGATTCTCGGCGACAAATGAAATGGCCTCGGAGAGCTTTAGTGAAGATATACTTCATTTAACTTATTAAATTCGCTAGTTTTCATGGTCCGCTTGACTAATTAGTATCTTTCAATTAATTAATAGAGTAGCGGCGTATCTAGCCGAAGATCGTGGGTTCGAATCCAGCTCGTCACACTGACTTTTTATCTCAACTAAAAACCCTAATTAATTGAAAAATTATTAATTATTTCGCAATACATAATGATGGCTAATTATAGAAAGATTTCGGTCATAAACGATCGTCTTCATCCTGTATATTTTAGAACTATTAGGTTCCGTGGTCCGATTGACCAAATAAACTCTTTTCAATTAATTAATCTTTAAGTAAAGTATTGGTTGAGATAAAAAAGTCAGTGGCACGAGCGGGTTTCGAACCGACGACTTTCGGCTAAATACGCCGCTGCTCTACCACTTGAGCTATCGTGAATTCGATCCACTCGGACACCAACTTCCCACCTCAACCCCATCTTTTGAATTTTCCCTCCTTTTTGCCATTTTTCAAATGTCGTGTAATCTATTTGATTCTCGGCGACAATGAAACAAATGAAATAGCCACGGAGAGCCTTAGTGAAGTATACATCATTTTGCTTATTAAATCGATTAGGTTTCGTGGTCTCATTGACCAAATAAATTCTTTTCCATTAATTAATCTTTAAGTAAGGTATTGGTTGAGACACATTTGAAAAAAACTTTGCATGAACTTTAAAAACTTTGCTTGAATTGAACTGACGTGTCTCCTTTAGAAAAAAATCACTCATTTAACTCATATAGTACAATTAAAGACATAGTACTCAGCACCTCTATACTGGGTGAAATATTTTATCAATAATACATTTAAAAATTAGATGGGGACGAAAAAAAAATGGATTGAATTTATCGCTGTTTTCGACGTGCTTTTACGTAATTAAACTAACAGAGGTAAATATAGAAGTATGTATGTTTGTGTAAGAAAGTGTTCAAGGTAAGGCAATTAAAAATAGATGGAGGAATGTTGATTTTCTTTAAGGAAATATTCTTAATGGTGACAACTAATTTCACATATCCGTACGTGGAACTATTAGCAGGGCATTTAATGGACAAAGGAGGAGTAAGAGAGGTTATGATTGGACTCACAACCTATTTCCAAACCTTACAAATTACGAGATTATCTAAACCAAACTATCAAATCTGTTTTTCACTTACTACTATTGATCATTATAGGTAAATGCTTGAAAAAGTCTAATTTCAGTGAAAACATCATTAACATTTTTCAGAGCTATTTAAATAATAGACAAGGCACGGTAAAAATTGAGGATAAGTTCGATGATCTTTTTAAAAATAATAGTGGAGTCCCTCAGGGTAGTGTTTACAGCCTCTCTTATACAATATTTATGCGAACGAAATGAATAAAGCAATTGGTGC